CATGCTCTAATTTAAAAATACCTTATTGCTAACAAGTGCTAACAATCACTGGGCCTTCAACAAGCCATAATCCTTTTGCTGGTAGAAGGTCTTGCCTCAGTGCTGATGACCGCTGCCTGGTTACGGTGGTGGGAGTTGAAGGCTGAAGTGGCTGCGGCAACTTCCCAAAATAAGAACAGCGAAGTTTGCCCCATCAAGGGATTCTTCGTTTCACGAACAATTTCTCTGTAGCATGTGATGCTGTTTGACAGCATTTTACCCACAGAACTTAGGACAATGGGAATCAATCCTCGTTAACCCTGCCACTGCTTTATCAATCAACTCAGTTCATGTAATATTCCAAATCCTTGTTGACATTTCAACACTCTTCGCAGCGTCTTCACCAGGAGAGTCCACCTCGGGAAACTACAGTCTTTGCTCATCCACAAAAAGCAACTCCTAACCCACTAAAGTGTCGTCGCGAGATTGCAGCAACTCAGTCACGTCTTCAGGCTCCACTCTTAGTTCTAGGTCTCGTGCTGTTTCCACATCGGGAGCTACTTCTTCCACGGCAGAATTGAACCCCTCGAAGTCATTCACAAGAGTTGGAATCAACTTCTTACACATTCCTGTTAGGGGACACTTTGACCTCTTCCCAGCAATCTTGGATGTTCTTAATAGTATCTAGAATGGTGAGTCCTTTCCAGGTTTACAATGAACTTTGCCCAGACCCAGCAGAGGAATCACTATCTATGGCAGCTGTCACCTCACAAAATGCATTTCTTTCTTTTTTTTTTTTTTGAAATCCTCACAGGAGGACATTGTTTGTTAGAGAGTGAGAAAGGGGGACAAAGAGAGAAAGAAACATTGATGTGAGAGCGTGAAACATCCATTTGTTGCCTTCTGGTATGCATCCGACTGGGAATCAAACCCGCAGTGTAGGCATGTGCCCTGACTGAGCATCAAACCTGCCACCTTTTCGCCTACGGTATGACACTCCAACCGAGCCACCAGCCAGGGCACAAAATGTATTTCCTCAATAACAAGACTTGAAAGTCAAAATTACTCCTTAAGCTGCAGAATGGATGTTATGTGAGCAGGCATAAAAACAATATCCATCTGTTACATTTTCATCAGAGCTCGGGTGACCAGAGGCATGGTCAGTGAACAGTAATATTTTGATAGGAATCTTTTTTTTCTGAGCAGTTGGTCTCAAGAGTAGGCTTAAAATATGAATATTTTAACACACAAACAGTGTTGTAAACAGACATGCTGTCATCCAGGCTTTGTTGTTCCATTTACAGAGCACAGGCAGAGTAGACTTAGTATCATTATTAATGATCCTAGGATTTTCTGAATGGTAAATGAGCACTGACTTCAACTTAGGCACCTGACAAAAGAGTCAGCCTGTCCTTTGAAGCAAGGCATGGATTTTTCCCCTCCAGCTATGAAAGTCTTAGGTGGCATCATCTTCCAATATCAGGAAGGTTGTTGAGGCTACATTGCAAGTCTGTTGTTGAGCGTAGCCGCCTTCTTTATCCCGGCTGGTCCTCCTGGATAACCTGCTGTAGCTTCTACATCAGCACTTGGCGCTTCACCTCGCACTCTTACGTTGTGCAGACGGCTTCTTTCCGTAAACCTCATACACCGACATCTACTAGCTTCAGACTTCTTTTAGAGCAGCTTCCTCGCCTGTCTCAGACTTCAGAGAAGTGAAGAGTTAGAAACTTCCCCTGGATTAGGCTTTGGCTTAAGAGACTAAGCCAAAGTCTCTTCACTTTGTTCAGAATCTCTTGACTCTCTTGTGGCTTGCTTGTTCTTTAATATGCAGACCACTAAAACTTTCTGCATATCAGCAACAGACTGTTTTACTTTCTTATCATTGGTGTTTATTGGAGTAGCACTTTTAATTTCCTTCCAGAACTTTTCCTTTGCATTCACAACTTGATTAACTGTTGGCACAAAAAGCCTAGCTTTCGGCCTTTCTCAGCTTTTGACATGCCTTCTTCCCTAAGCTTGATCATTTCTAGTTTTTGATTTCAAGTGAGAGACATGCAACCCTTCCTTTCACTTGAACACTTGGAGACCACTGCAGGGTTATTAAATGACCTAATTTCCATATTCATGTGTTTCAAGGTCTGAGAGAGATGGGGGAAGAGCCCATTGGGGGAGCAGTCAGAACACACCTAGCAGTTAGTGATTAAGTTAATCATTTCATAAGAACGTGGCTCATGGCATCCCAAAACAACAATAGCAACAGCAAAAATCACTGATCACAGATCACCATATGAAATATATTGTAGTAGTAATGAAAAAGTCTGAAGTAGTTTCAGCATTATTGAAACCTGATACAGAGACACAAAGTGAGCAAATGCTGGAAAAAGGCACTGAGAACTAGGCTTGACCCGGGCTGCCAAAAACCTTCATTTCGTAAAAACCCTCAGCATCTGCAAAGTGCAATAAAGTGCATCACAGTGAAAGAAGGTATGCCTGTAACTGTCTGTTTGTCCTGGGCTTTGGATCTTTTTGGATCTCCCACATGACCGTGAGTTCCACCAGAACGGTCAGTTTCAAGATCACAGCTGTGTGTTCCTGAACTAGTAGTGCAGGGCCTGGCATCGTGGGCACAGATATACCTACTGAATTAATACATGTATTAAGGATGTCCTCAAACTGAAAAATAGTTAACAAATTACCCTTGGTGTCCCTGGCCCCTGGGTAAGTCAACTTCCTTTAGTGGTTTCCCATCACCTTTCCTGTATTTCTTCGAATGGTCCGTTCATTAAAATCAATTCAAAATCTTGGCTGAATATTTGTTTCCTGCCTGGGCCCTGACTGATGGTTTATGAACTCAAATAGAAATAGCAGACTAATGGTTTCTTAGGATTTTAAGTTAACTGTTGATGTTCTACCCTTTCAAACATCCTATTTTCTATTAATTTTTACAGTACAATTTTTTAAAATAGAGCGCTTAATTCCTTTTCCAATCTGTTTCATCTTTATATTCTTTAAACTTATATTCTTTAAGATCTAAGGTTTATAATTAACTGATTATATTCATAATTACAACTACATCTTTGGTTGTAGGAAAATGCACTTGAACAGAAAATTTAACTTAAAAAAAACAAAGTCCTCCCAGTACGAAAGAAAAGTTTCCAATGATGAATACATGTAAAATTTCTCCATGTTTTAAAAAGCTGAAGGCCAGAAAGAAAACCAAGTATATATACATTAAAATATGTGATAATTGACTGAATAATTACCTATGATTTAAAAATTATTCTAATAAATACTCTAAATTTATACAGTTTCATTTCATCAGGGGCAAGTACAGGTATCGTGGAACCTAGAGCTGACACCGCGGCGGGAGGGGAAAGCTCTCTGTGAAGAGGGAAAAAGGAAACCAAGAACAGGACTACTCCTAGGATATCAGGTGTAAGGTCAGGAAGGACCCGAAGCAGGTAAGGGCCCTGAAGCTTAAGTTTCATGAGCTTTATTAAAAATCCACTTCTGGTATCAAAAAAAGTACTTCTTTTCTTTCATTAAATTATAGGCAGAATGCTCAATACTGACATTTATTATTTATATTAATAAAAAGAAAACTTTTCAACTTAGAAATAAAACCCCAAACTCATCAGAGCTCAGCGATCTCGGTGATGTGTTTGCCCCTTTACACAGTGACGCCCTGCAGCTGTGTGACGGTGTGGCCGTGCCAACACCGAGTGAAGGGAGGGTGTAATTATCTGGTAATAACAACAGGATTCTGACAAGACTGATAGCTTTTTAATTTTCGTAAAGAAGTAGCTGTACTCCAGAGTAGAATTCAAAGAAAACAACTTTATATCTATATTAGGTGAAGAATAAAAGGCAATTCCTAGTAAGATATCCCAGAAATGATCAATCACTTTAACAATCAGAAGAATCTAGTTAAAAGTAAAACTCAGTTTTGAACAAACTGAATTACATTCATTACAATTAATTTATTCAAAAAACAAAATTTTTGCAATTAAAACATTCATTCAGAAACAAAATTGGGAGATCTATTAAACTTACAATCACTATGTTACTTATTAAGAAAATAATTATCTTAAAATAAATACCTCTGTCAAATAAAAATAGATTCTAAAACAAGGAAACTGTAAAAGCCTTTCTTATTTTGGCATTTAATCCTGAGAGGTCTTAGCTAAAGTCACTGTTACTTGCTGATCACACCCCTCCCCACGGGAGGGAGTGGGGAAAAGGAGGAGGAGGAAGAAATCGTGGCTTCAGCCACAACATTCAGACTATATGCTGAGGTGCACAACACAGGTGGGTGTCACGATGAGCCATGCTGCGCTGAAGACTATGCTGCATGCTGCTGGACCTCTGGGCGGGGGTGTGAGACCTGGGCACTCGCTTGGAGCTGGCAGAATCCTCTCCCCTCCCCAGGAACTTAGTTAAAAAAGGTTGAACACTGGCTGGCCCGCTCTATAGAAGGGCAATAAGCTTATTTGTTACAGTGGCTCTGAAACAACAGCTGACTATAAAATAGGCACAGGCTGTCAGACATCCATGAACTTGACCGAAAGAGAAATCAAGCTGGGAGGAAGAATGCCCCCTCTGGGATTCTGACACCTTGGAAAACTGGGACAAGAATCTTTTCCTTTTTTTCTCATTATGACAATGAATGGGGCAGGAAATGATGGCCCCTTCTCTTCAAACCAAAGCCTTTACCTCCATCACCTTAGAGCAGTTATAAAAATGATTCGTAAATGTTCATCAGGGTGGCTGATGATAAAATCTCCCTGGACAGTACTAAACTGTGGCTCAAAGCCTCTTTAAAAAACACATTTGTGCCAACCAAGTCTCACCCTCCCTTCCCCAAAGATGTGAGTTAAACCAAAAGAAGGGCAGACCATGCAAAATTTCTCTACATTTTTAATGTAGTGAATTTCTGATGTTAAAATGGAGGAGCATAATAAGAGTGATAACCAAAAAAGCAGCTCTTGCAGTCTAACGTCTTAAAATCCACACCCTTTCACCTTGCACGTGTGGAAGAAGAAAGAGCAGAAGATAAAATCACTTCCACCTGGACCACTGCTTTTCTTTATCTGTTAAAGGCACGTATATCACTCCCATCAGCGGTTTCATTTTGACACTGCCATCTTGTAGCTTGTCATACTGCTCCAGCATCTGATTTCCACCTGCAGGACCGACGGGCAATATCAATCTTCCACCAGGCTTTAGCTGGTCTATTAGCTAAAAGAAAAAAAAAAACATACATACCCAGTTACAGATTTTATATTAATAGTCATTTTACCTCTCCATAAACGGCCTTCAGTGTCCATGGGCAGGAAGTACAAATGTACTTGTATTTGTACAAGTACAAATACTTGTACAGTATTTGGCACACACATACTTTGATTGCTAAACGTATCACTCAATTCCCACTCATTTACTTACCCGCCTCTCCTACTAAACTGCAGGTCCTTTGACGAGAGGGACGGTGTACAGCCTGGTACAACTGCAATGCTCAAATGTTTGAGCTGAACACACAATGTAGAATTATCCTCTTGGGAAGGTCAAAGGCAAAGCCAAAAGTTCTGATGCCTATAAGCTTGTTTAGAATCTTTGTGGTTTAGGTGGCAAGTGTAGAAATTCTGCAAGGAATCCCTACAATTGTAGAATTTAAGACATCACTTAACCAAAGCTCAGGGAACCTTGGTTTTACAACGGAATTTAGGATTGCTGGCGCCACGATGAAGGACGGTAGGGCTGGAGCCTGAGGCATTAGAATGAGGACCCCTGTCCATGAAGAACCAAGACCGCTCATCGCTGGTCAGTTTTAAAATCTTATGTTACCATCTGCCTGTAGCTTTACAAGTCACCACTAATCAAAAACAATGAGAAATAAACCTTACTTTCAATAGTATTGCCCCCCAAAAGGTGTCTCAATTAAACTTTAAGTTGTCAGCAAGTTGTTGTTTTTTTGACATTTTAATTTTTACAAAGTAATACTGGCAAGGATTGAGTTGTTTTTTTAAATGTCAAGATTTATAATGAAGAACAGCAGGCTGCTTCCCTCCAATCTTCTTCCTCTATCCCGTCATTCGAATCCTTTTGGCTGTATCTTCATTGGTTCCTTTTTTATTTGGAAGTGCTTACTTCTAAAGCATGTTTTTTATTTTCCTTAATTGAGATACAACTGACATTTTATATGGTATTAGCTTTAGGCATAAGACATAAGGACTTGATACGTGTATAATGTGCAAAGTGATGACCACATTTTAAGTTCAGTTGACATCCACCAGCACACAGTGACAATTTTTTTCTTGTGATGAGAATTTTTAAGATCTACTCTCTCAGCAACTTTCAAGTATACAATAAAATTGCCTATAGTTGCCATGCTATACAATATTTAATTTTATTTCAAATTACATACTAAATCAGGACTGAGCTCTCTTACACATATTCTTCTCCTTGCCCCTAATCCAACCCAATACCTTAGTTTTTTATTTAAACCATTTTCAGCTGTGACTGTGTAAATATAGTTTGCAGCTGAGCCAAGAGGTATTCGATGATTGTTTCCTTTCGTATACTGTACAACAGTTATTTCTCTGCAGTTAAAAACTGAAGTTTTTTCTCTTTTCGCTCACTTAATTTCCTTTGTAACTGTTTCTAAACCTTTGTACATTCCAACAACTTCACAAACCTATCAAATTGGTGCCCTTTCTTTTTTTGGTGGAATCTCCTGGGGCCTTCCTCTGGCCACTCCAAATCTGGATGCGGGATTCTCCCAGCCGGCAGCTCGGCCTTCATCCTGGGACTTCTCTTTGCAGTAATACTGGGAACTCGCATCACCTCTCTCCTGAAAAGACGTCCTACCTTCCTGGATCTCATGGCTTCCTTGTTTTGGTTTTACCTACTGTCTCTCTCCTCCCTCATTTTTTGCTGTATTATTACAGCAGTTCCTCCAGAAGCATTCTGGGAAACGGTGCACGGGCTACTGTCACGGAGAGCGGCTGAGATCTGCAAGTCTAAAACTATTCTCCCTATTTGGAGATATGTGTGGGTACAGAATTCCAGGTTGGAAATCATTTTCAGTTCAGAACTGTGATGGTGTAATTCTAATGTTGCTATTCTACAGTTGGATGTCTTTCTGATTACAAATCCTTAATGAATTATCTCTTTTGCTTTTCTGGAAACTTTTAGGATCTTCTCTTTATATTTAGCATTCTGAAATTTCATGGTGATATTGTGGCTCTTTGTTTTTCTTTTTAAAAAAGTCATCATACTGGACACTCAATAGATCTCTTCTTACTACAGAATCATGTCCTTCAGTTCTTGGAAATTTTCTTACTTAGGACTTAGGGCTTAATTGTTCCTTATAAAAATTTCAGCCGCAACCCCTCTTTTCAGACCCAGGGCTCATCTCTGATTTCCCAAGTCCTGATGCCTGTAATTTCTAAGCCGTTTCAGAGGTCTGCAGCGCAAGCTACTTCTGCACTGATAGTGTCTTCTGGGGTCACCTTGGGTTTGGTTTCCTCCAACCTCCTGAATCAATTATCAACCCAGCTGCTTTCTGTCTTCACACACTACAGAGTTCAGGACTGCAAGTATAATCTCCTAGATAGTTGAACATAGTGTGTGTTTCTGTTCTTGTTTTTCCAGTTGTTCTGGGCTGACATCCAAGAGGAGCATAAATATCTGTACTCATTACCTTAAAACTGGAAAGCCCCTTCAGCATGTGTACAAGACCCTTATAACACTTACAAGTGCTACTATGTCTAAAATCGTACTGAGTTAAAGCTATATATGTCCTTCGGGGTCATCTCGGGGTCTTGGTGAAAACAATGAGTCCTGTGCCCAAGCCCCTTCACTTAAACGCTGTTCTAGTTCAGATTTTAGCTGTTTGCACCAGGCTGCCAATATGTTTTTAGTTAAAAACAAAACACAAAACCCACTGATCATGTGTTCATATATGAAAATTCTTTTGAGCTATTTATGATTTGTATGCCTTTCCATATCATGTTAATACTTCAATTAAAATGCATTAAAAGCAGCCCTGGCCGGGTGGCTCAGTTGATTGGAGCATCATCCCGTACAGCAGAAGGTTGTGGGTTCTATTCCCTGTCAGGGCACATACCTAGGTTGCGGGTTCAATCCCTGGCCGTGGCATGTATGGGAGGCACCTGATGGATGCTTCTCTCTCACATTGATGTTTCCCTCTCTTCCCACTCCCCTTTCTCTCTCTCTTAAATCAATAAACATATCCTTAGGTGAGGACTTTTTAAAAAATGTGTTAAAGCCACTGGTTTAGTAAAACACAAACAAAACAAAACAAAACACAGATAACAGAGCCAGAGAGAATAAGTGATTTTCCCACAGTCATTTAGCCAGTAAGTAGCAAGTCGATGATTATAACAAATTCCCCAACCTTCACCTTCTCACACCTGATCTAAACATACAGTAAGAACCCTTTCTAGGCTGGGGAGGGGATCAGACTAGACAGAAAATGCCACTAGTCATCTAGTCAACAACTGTGTGAAATTTGTATATAATAGAAACCTAAGACTTCAATAAACTTAACCAAGAATTATTAAGAGCTGACATAAACTTATCAGAGTGCTACAAAATGAAAAATTAATTTTGTACTTCAGTATTTCCTTGACTATAATATTCAATACTAGAATATCCTTTCCTCAAATTGAAAGAATGCAAATTCTCTTATTCTGAAGATTAGTTCAAGTTTTATTCCTGTATGAATTCTTCTGATCACTCTATAAAAAATTCTTTTGTTACCTTGAACTTGTACAGGATTTTCATTTTATTCAATATGTATCATGTGCTAATGATATGATACCACATCACTAATTTCCCTGTTATATGTATGACACACCTCCTCTGGGATATAAGCTTTGTGAAGGTAAAAAGTACGACACATACTTCCTGGTCTCTCCCAGGCACCTAATAGTTTGGTGCATTCCGGTATTAAACAAAATATCGAGTCATTATCAGGTCATGAACTCTAGAGGGATTTTCCCAATTCCACTGGCAGACTAGTTCTTTGCTGGAAGACAGCCATGAGCTGGGGTTCGGTAGTAATCTTGATGTCGTTTATACAACTGTTTGCATATGGAAACAATAATTACCTACTAACTGTAACTAAAACTCACAACATGAGTAACTGTATTTTGAACACCATCTAGAAGTCATTCTCCTATAAATCTTTGAGAGTTTTAGCTGGAAGCACAGAAACACAGAAAAAACACAACTCACTGCTTGGGGCACAACCGGGGCCGCAGCGCCTACGTGGATAGCGTCGTAAGGGGCTTCTTCGGCATAGCCCATTCTCCCGTCCCCCACTGGAAGAGAATGTACACTCTCAGTGCCTGTCCAGGTAGAGCTGCTTAGTGTGAAGACTTTAAAGCAGGGAAAGGATAGTTCTGTTTGTTTGTTTGTTTGTTTGTTTGTAATAATGATGCTGGGACAACTGAATCTGCATATGGAAAAAATATACACTTAGACCCCCGACCTCAGATATACACAAGAGTCAATGTCAGGAAGATCAAAGACCTAAATTTGGAAAGCTAAAGAACCAAGTTTCTGAGTAATAATATAGAGAAATAAGGGCTGGCATAGCTCAGTGGATTGAGCGTGGGCTGAGAACCAAAGTGTCACAGGTTCGATTCCCAGTCAGGGTACATGCCTGGGTTGCAGGCCATGACTCCCAGCAACCACGCGCTGATGTTTCTCTCTCTCTTTCTCCCTTCCTTCCCTCTCTGAAAATAAATAAATAAAATCTTAAAAAACAAACAAACAAACAAAAAGGACCTATGTGAGAGTGAAAAGGCATGCCACAGGGTGGGAGGAGAGATTTATAATATGCATAAATAGACAAAGGGCTAGTCTCTGGAAGTCCTATAAATCTAAGAAAAATATAAACAACTCTGTATCTGAACAGGCATTTCACAAAAGAAGAAACTAAATGGCCAAACATATGAAAAAGTGTTCAACCTCACTGGTTAATAGGAAAACACAAAATTAAAGCCACAAAGAGATACTGTTATACACTCACTAAGTGGGCAAAAAGAAAAATCTAACAATACCAAATGCTGGTAGAGATGTAAAGTAATAGGAATCCTGACACACTGCTGCTGGGAATGTACATTGGTTCAATCACTTTAAAGACAGTTTTGCAATGTCTATGGTAACCCTTAGAGCCTACAATAGCACTCTAGAGAAATGAGTGCTTGCATGAGGAGTGAATATATGCATGAATCTGGACTTACGGACACATGTGGTCACAGCAGCACTGTGAATATCCACAAATTAGAAATAACTCAAAATACCAAGCTACAGAGGAATTAACAATTTTGGTGGTGGTCTTACAATGGAATGCTATACAACAATAAAAATGTACGCAAAAAGTGGGTGAATCTTACAAACTTAAGGTTGAATGAAAGAACTCATTCATCACAGAATGATCACAGAACGTATACTGCATGGTTCCATTTATCTAAAGTTCAAAATTAAATTAAACATTAGTTTTGGAAGTGCAATTAGGTAGTAAATGTGCAGAAGTAATGACATGGGTTACCACTAGGGAGAAGGGAGGGAGTTGTGATGAGGGAAAAAGGGAGGTGAGGACTTCCCAGGTACCAATGATGTTCCATTTCTCCATCAGTGTGGTGATTAAATGAGTATTGTATTAAGCTTCACACTTATGTTTTTTGCATTTTTTAATGTTTTCTTATTTTTCACAATACAAAATGTGCTCCTATGGAAATAGTGCCATAGTATATTGCTGAGTGGAAAAAAGCAAACTACAGGACAATATTTTAAATATTAAAATATTATACGGGACAATATGTATAATATGAGTTAAACGCTGTGTGCAATTTATTCATACATATACTTGTATTTAGAAAAAAAGGGAAAAGGAGAGGCTGTCTTTTTTACCTTATATATCTGCACTGTTTACATTTTTTAAATCATGAATACTTGTTACTTTGGTATTATTTATATGTGAAATCTAATGAACAAAATTAACTAACAAACAAACAGAAACAGACTCACAGATACAGACAACAGACTGACAGCTGTCAGCGAGAAGGGGGTTGGGGGCTGGGAGAAAAAGGTGAAGGGTTTAAGCAAAGAAAAAAAGCCTCAGAGACAGACGACAGTATGGTGATTATAAGAGGGAAGGGGGCAGAGGGGTAGGAGTGGGTAAAGGGGGTTAAATGGTGACAGAAGGAGATTTGACTTGGGGTGGTGAACACACAATGCAACATACAATTGTTGTATTATAGAATTGTACACCTGAACCCTATATAATTTTATTAACTAATTTTACCCCAATAATTTTTTTAAAAAGAGCAATGAAGAAAGAACTCAACATGGGCACTTTCTGAAACAGTTAAGTCATGTCGCCCAGGGTCCCAAAGTCAAGGTAGAACTAGCATAACATTTTCAAGTAATTGGTTCTTACTTTGTACTTAAAAGTGAATGTTTTTAAAATGCAGGAATTAATTAGTTCTGAGTATTATTTAGTTGCATGGGGATCTTTTGGAAAACAATTCTTCAGAGAGGAAAATTTTAAGTTTTCTGATACTCACCAACCAGTTGCACTCTCCCTGAAGACAAAAGCATTGGGTCGTCCTTTCTGACATTATTTATTGAGTCGTCTACTAGCTCTTTAATGTGGTCAATTCCTACGACTCTTCCACTAGCTCCAACCTGGAAATGAGAATAATTCAATAGCTCACTGGTCTAAATTTGTCTTTCTGAAGTGTCATTAAAATACTTCCTTATGAAAAGTCATATTCTCAAATGAGAAATAAAGACAAACAGCTAAAGCTTCTGATTAGATTGTTACTGTTTACTAGAAATTATTTACCAATTACAACTTTCTCAACTATAACCCTCAAATGAATAATTATATTTAATTAAAAAGCTAGAATAAGCCATGGCAGGGTGGCTCAGTTGGTTGTAACATTGTCCTGTGCACCAAAAGGTTGCCAGTTCAATCCCCAGTTGTGCATACAGAAGGCAAACTATCAAAGTTTCTCTCTCACATTGATGTTTTTCTCTCTCCCTCCCTTCCTCTCTAAAATCCATAAAAACATATCTTTGGATGAGGATTAAAACAAACTAGAATAGATTATAAACACTTGTAATATAAAAAAAATGCTATCATTCTTTAATTTAGAATTTTTAAATCCAGGACCATACTGGAGGACTTAATTGCCAATATTAAATGGTAGTTAATGCAATCATTTTTTTTAATTAAACCTATAAGTATGACTTTAAATATTAAAATATTATAAAATAATTTTATAAAGATTTAAATAATTTTATAGGGATTTCTATACCTGATTCTACTGCCATGTTGTGGAAAGTATAAAATACATAAGAATATAAAATGGCCCCAAATATAAATTGTAAAAAAATGTTATACAATAAAGACTTCCATGTCAGACTAGCTGGGTTCACATCTAAGTTTCATTACTACTCACAACTGTGTAACCTTGGCAAGTTATTCTATGAATCATGTTGCTCAGCTGTAAAATGAGGAGTAACAGGTATATATACCTCATAAATGACGTGAGGACTAAAGAAGAGAATACACGAAAAGCATTCAGAACACTGACTAGCATGTGCTAAGTGTGTGAAAAACATTAACTTAAATTACCCCAATTTTAAAAAAGATAACTCAGAATTTAATGATTTTTTAAAAAATAAATTTTCCTCCGAAACTATAAATATCTTAAGTATAGAAAATAACCTCATTAAGTGTTATTTCTAAACTTTGGGGAAAAAAGGCCCTGACATGCCATCAGTGAGGGCTTACCTTCTACAAAATAAGTTAAAAATATTGAACAGAACTATCTCAATCCTTATTACATGCCAGACACTGTTCTGGATGCTTAAGAAATGTCAAGGAAAAAAATCAGACAAAACTTCTGCCTCCCTGGAACTTAACATGCTAGTGGTCTGCTGATTATACATGGATAGCAAGTTAAATGAATTCTAGTCCAGGATGGAACCATAAATCCCAACTTAACAAAACCAGGCTTCCAGCCTGGCCTCCAGACACAAGATTTTCCGTAACTGATTTGACTTGCTTACCTGAGCACAGAGGCACCTTTCCTCCAGGTGCCCGAGTAGGCCCCAGACTTGTTCTTCAGTAGTCATTTACCAAATAAGCCTCTGGAGATGTTAAGGTGAAGTATAATACACAGGGCATTTTTCTAAGAGTACTTTTCCTAATGTAAAGGATTCTCCACCCTCATTCCTAATAAGCCTACAGGAGTATTTAGATACCAGACTCTATTATTTTCTGCCAGATGAGAACTTGGAAGCATGTGGCCTGGGAGCTACTGTCTACCACCTTGCGATCGTAAGAGAAGAGCCCGTGTGACAAGGAAGCCGACTTGCGGAGGTAAGCAAAGCCCAACCAGACCCACAGAGAAACCCATCGTCAACGACATCCGATCTTCTGAACCCTGCCACACAGAAGCCAGCTACACTTTAGATGTTTCCACCGTATAAACCAAATAAATTCCTTTTTAGCTCTGCCAGTTCAGACAGAGTGTTCTGCCACTGGCTAGAACTATAAAAAATCCTAGTGATATATATTCCAACTGCTTCCTTGGTAGAATTAAAAAAAAAACCTTTGGTAGCTTCTAAGGAAAAAAATATACAGCCAAATCATACATAGGACATGTAGAAGTATGCTTCTGTTAGGGCCAGAATGAAAAAACAAAATAAAGGTCTTACCATACGTGCAAAACATGCAGTAAGGATTCCACTTCCAGATCCCACATCAAGGGCTTTAGCTCCTTCATGCAGTTGATCATACAGAAGTTCTAGTGCATATGCATGCTGCCAAAAGAAAACAGAGCAAATATTCTCTTTTTTCCAAGAATATATATAACATGGCACATAAAGAAAGTTGCCAAGTTCATACCAATGTTACTACTATTATCATCTGCCAAGACAACGAAAACATATTACATAGTACTTACACCTACACAGGAATTACATAAGAAAATTCTCAATGTTTGGTTATATTCATATACTTAATTTAAATGTTTCAGTAATTTTTTATCTCCAGTGTGTGAATTTTTTAAATTTAATTAATTCGAAGTCAGAAGTCACAAAAGGATTTACGGTGAAAAGTCTCTATCCCACCCCTGTTCCAACCGTCCCCATCCCCAACCAGTTTCACTCGGGAGTGAAACTAGTTTCACTAGTTATGACTAGTTTCACTGGTTATAAGACCAGTGTCTTATGATGCCTTCCAAACGTATCCATTCTATATACACACAAGCAAATGCATATGTGATTTTTCATTTATCATATCCTAAAGCAACTTTCTTATCAATATTTAAACAGCCTGTTCCTTTTTTAATGACTGAGGAGCATATCTTTGTATGAATGTATTACAGAACAAATACCCCTAATGAGAGACATTTAAGTGAGCTCCAATATCCTATAACAAGAGATGAAATAATCTTAAAAGGTATACCTGTAGATAAATATAATAATCTTATAAAGTATATCTATAGGATAACTTTCTAGAAGTGGAGTTGAGAGGGCCAAAGGATATATTTTTATATTTACAGTACATATAAATTATAAATTAAATAAAATCATAATGGTTATGCTTTGGATTAAACCAAGAAATAAAGCTTTCACTACTTTATCTTCTTTATAAACTTACATTTCAGTGCTTTTCTAAAACATGAGGTTAGAACTAATAAATGTTATCTTACGAACTGTCCCAGTATGTTCACTAAAAATCATCAAATCCTATAGTAATAAAACATTTGCTACCAGAATTTAGTTGTTAAAAATACACATCCATGACCTGGCCAGGTGGCTCAGTTGGTTGGAGCATCACCCCATGCACCAAAAGGCTGTGAGTTTGATTCCTGGTCAAGGGTACATACCTTGACTGTGGGTTCAATCCCCAGTCAGGGTGCATTGGGGTGTATATAAGAGGCAACCCATTGAAGTTTCTCTCTCACAGAGATGTTTGTTTCTCCTTTCTTTTCTTTTTTCTTTTCTCTCTCTCTCTCTCTCTCTCTCTCTCACTCTCATCAGTAAAACATGTCCTTGGGTGAGGACTTAAAATATTTTTTAAATTACACATTCATGAATCCACAGTGATAATAAGTAATATATACATACATCTACATGTATATAAATAGAGAATAAGGGGAAATTGTTCCCAATTAATAAACATGGATGAAATGATAAATTTAGAAAATCACCATTTGGCAACCATTTTAGTAACAAATTAATCAGGCAAAAATTATAAGTGAATGCTAAAGCCAGTGAATTATAATTTGAGGAATAACAGGATATTTACGTAATCTCAAAGTATTTGCCCAAGACACTTATTACAGAAGGGGAAACTATAATTTTACAGTGGAGTTCAGAAAAAAAATTCTCAATGAAGAAACCTAGTTGACACTACTTAATCAGATGATAAAGTTAACATCATCAGGGGAACACAATGACATCTTCGCATGACACTAGCTAAAATATATCACTTCTGGAATATTCCAGGCAAAAATGCATAGCCCTATCTAAACATTAGAACACAGCAGATAAACCTAAATTAAGAAACATTCTTTAAAATAGCTGGCTTGCATTTGTAAAAATCTTCAAGACCATAAAAGAAAAGACTGAGGGACTGTTCCAGATTAAAGAAGACTAAGAAGACATGACGATTGAATAAAATTCGGTCTGCATTTTCCTTTTTCAATAAAGGACATTACTAGAGCAACTAATGAAATCTAAATAAGGTCTGTGAATTGGCTAACAGTGTTGGATTAATGTTAATTTCATTATTTTGATCACTGTACTCTGATTATTTAAAAGAATGTTCTATTTCTAAAGGTAAAAAGCATTCTGCTTACAAATTACTCCCCAAGTTCATAAAGAAATATATGTATTTCCTATATATTTGTATATGTGTGCATGTATGTGTGTAGAAAAAGGGAGAGGACAGGAAGAAAGAAATAAAGAAAAAGAAAGTGATAAAGCAAATACAGTGAAATGATAAGATTCAGGGAATACGAGTAAAAGGTATAGGAAAATTATTTGTATTCTTACATTTCTGTAAGTCTAAAATTCTATTAAAATAAAAAATCAGAAAGAGATAATGTGTTCCAAATGGAGGACAGACTGGAAACTCCCTATTTGGAAAACTAATTTAGGTGACAGAAGCCAGAATACTGGTTACTCTGAGGACAGAAGTTGTAGGAAAGGGCATGAGGGAACCTTGTAGGGTACAGGAAATGTTCTTTATCTTGATCAGGGCAGTGTTTACAAATATGCACACATGTAAACATTCATCAAGCTGTATACTTACAATCTATGCACTCTACTGTGTGTGTATTATAACTTAAAAAAAAAAGTTAAATACCACTAGGAAACAACCACGTTCAGAATGTAGGAAATTCTATAAGATAAATGAATGCATTTTGTCAATAAATAAATGGCAAAAAGAAAGGGACTATTAACATTTTTAAAAGACTACAAAGACTATAAAGATGCAATGTATGGACCTTGTTTAGATCCTGAAAAAGCAAATCCACTGTACAAAAATGTTTTTTGAAACACCTGGAAAAAGTTTGAACATGGCTAAGATATAAGATAATATTAAGAAACACTGTTTGGCATGTTAGGGTATTGTAATTGTGTTTTTGAAGTCTTTCAGTTTTACAGTAAAGTATTTAGGGGTAAAATATTATGTTCAAAATTTGCTTTAAAATGGTTCGACAAAAGGAAATCGTATATATTCTTTTTGCAAAGAGACTCTTGTCTAAAACATGAAAACTACCAATACTATGAAAAAAAGCTTGGGTTAAAGACCAGAAGTCCTGGCTTCTACTTGTTCTAAATTTATTAGTCCATGACATAGGATATTATTTATAGCTCATTGTTCCTCAGTTTCCATGTCATTACTACGGAGAGGAAAACAGTTGTTCCTATACTGCTTTCCCCTCGGAAGTATTGTTGTGATTAAAAGTCATGATGTATTTAAGAAGAAGTCAATGCTTACAGCACAATGACTTGTTGCTGCTTCTCTTCAAGGTACTTCAAAGTCGCTTACAGTGGTACAATGAACAATTAATTGATCTTTTACTTCTAGCTAGTGTGTTTTTGGTAAACTTCCTTCTGGGAAATCTTGTGTATGACTGTAAATCAGTGGACTCCCTCTTTTGCCTGATTCAAGAATGAAATGACTAGGTTAGTCAAAATAATCTGGTTAAGGCCCTCCTTTCCCTTTTCTCACGTTACCCTGTCCTATCCCTTCCATTTCTGAACGGGTCATATCTAAGGCCATTAAGATGGGCTGAACAAGGCAGCTGCCCATACCCAGGGGCCAAGAGGGCAGCTGCAATGCCCCGTTAGAAGTGTCAGAGCCCAAGCAGGTTCAGGGGGGCATCTGTGTCCACACGGGGGAATGGACTGAACCAAGAGTCAGGCCCCAGCTAGACGAAGGTTTCTGCATACAACGGTGGATCACGTTGGGTGTAAGGGCATAAATGGTGGAGAATGTGGGCGGGGAGACAGTGATAGCAGTGGGAAATTGGTTACGAACGGAGGATCAATCAAATAAATAAATATATTAAGGAAAATGGAACCAGTTTTCTCACTGCCAGAAAAGGAAGTTCAATATGGAAAGGGAGAGAACAGGAAACCGCAAAAACATACTGGTATAAATAAGTAAGGAACAGACATTTCTGATCTCAAAGCAAACCCTCACGAGACAATTATTAATTGCGAAAGCCAGTAAGAGTAACTCCACAGTGGAGAAGACTGGCAGACACCACCTTAATCAAGTACCACATCTTCAAAAGTGGCCCAAACCAAAACCGTCGCTGTCTGACAGGTCTGCAATGAGCACCCAAGCGTCACTTCTGTGACATTCCCACCGAAGTGGCATGGCCCGAATCTAGTCACGAGGAAAATCAGACAGCCCAAACTGAAGGACATCAACACAATAACTGGCCTGAAATCTTGAAGTGACTCAGGCGATGAAAGTCAAAGGAAGCCAAGGAACTGTTCCAGACCGACGGAGACCAAAAGAGGAGTGATTCTGCGGGATCCTTTATTACATCGAGGACATCGTAGGGACAAGTGGAAAAACATGAAAGGACACTGATGATTAAATGGTAGGAATGTACCGATGTTCCTGTCCTAGTTTTGGTGATTATATTGTGGTTATATAGGTTACACTGCGCATTTCCTTGTTTGAAGGAAATATACCCTCAAGTATTCAGGGGCAATGGGGCATCATTTCACCAACTTGCTCTCAAGGAGTAGAGAAAGTTTCTTGATGTGGTACTTGCAACTTTTCTGTAAGTTTGAGATTGTTTCAAATTTTTTAAAAATTTAACTTTATCATCCTGGTCAGGTAGCTCAGTTGCTAAGAGCATCATTGCAATACACTGTGGTTGTGGGTTCAATGACCAGTCAGGGCACACATAAGAATCAACCAATGAATGTATTAATAAGTGGGACAAATTGATGTTTTCTCTCTCTCTCTCTCTCATCAATAAAAAGGGATATTGATTTAAAAAATTCTTTAACTTTATCTTTCATGGATATTTCAAAATGATATTGTGGGATACTATCTCCAAATCATCAACCAGTACAGCAAGAAAGTGTTAGTTAATGAGGTTTCTAAGAGACACATTGGATTAATTAACTTTTACTGAGGAAATTGCTGGAGATATTTTACAGAATTAAAGTTGTTTTTAGACAAGAGGCTTAACCCAAAAGATGGAGCTTCTATGGAGAAAGAGGTTGTGTACGTTTTCAGGATATGATCTGTAGTTTGCATTAGATTCTTAAAACAATCATTATTCCCAGAAAGTTAATAATTTCCATTAATAAGGAAACAAGTCTCACACCATTAGAAAATAAAATAATTTTAAAAAACCACAAAATAACTCCTACAATACCTGACTTTCCTGAATCCAGAAATCAAAGGACAAGTAACTTCTTTAAGGTACCAATCCCCAATCTATAGGCAATACTATCCCAACTTAATTCCAAAAACATTCAAGAATTTTTTTTCAGTACTATGTTTGTATAGATTTGTTTTTTAAAAAGGGGGCATACTAATTTGTTAAAGTCTCATTCAGATTTAAAATGGTGAGCCTGTCCTGGCTGGTGTTGCTCAGTGGATTGAGTGCCAACCTGCGAACCAAAGGATCACAAGTTCAATTCCCATTCAGGGCACATGCCCAAGAGAACTGAAAATATATGTACACACAGAAACTTGTACATTAACGTTCATACTTTCTAACTACTTTAACATTAATTAATGTTGCTTTGAACATCAATGTTTTATATCCATAAAATGTAATAATATTTGGCAATAAAAAAATATGTTTGCTACAACATAGACAAACCTTGAAAATACTAAGCAAAATATAAAAACCCAGTCACAAAAGGCTATATATTGTATAATTCTATTTATGTGAAATGTCTAGAATGGACAAAGAAACAAAAGGTAGTTGCCAGGACCTGGGCAGAATGAGGGATGAGAACGGACTGCTACTGGGTACAGGTTCCTTTATGAGGTGATGAAACTGTTCGGCTATTAGAGAGCAGTGATGTTTGCACAACTCTGGAATAGACTAAAAACCATAGAACTGCATGCTTCAAATGGGTGGATTTGACAGTATGTGAATTACATATTAATAAAGCCATTATTAATAACTCATGCAGTATTTCTCTTAATATCTAAAAACATACTCCTCCAGTCAATTTCCCAAACAGGCTGCATAATGATTCTTCAAAAACACTTTTAGGGTTAAGAGACTGTTTCTATGTAAATCCTTCATTTTAAGTAGTAGTTCAACCTACCTGCAGGAATTTTAAGACTGTTACATTTTTTTAAATCATTAATTTCTTTGAATAGGTAAAAAAGCCATTCCTATTCCATGATTTAAAAAAAGGAGACAGAAAGAAACCGGTAACATGTAGAGGGTACAAGCAGATCTCACGTCCACTCCCAGCGCTCCTCTGTAACAAGCCCTCTGACTCCCTATCCTGGAAGAAATCTTTTCTGGTTTTTATGCCTCTAGGAAGACGCACGTGTGTCCATTTGTGTGCGTTTGATTTTCTGTATATTAAAGAGTACTCTACATACGCTTCTGCACTCTACTTTTATACTTAATGTTTCCTGAAGATCCTGCTATATTCACACTCACAGAGCTTCCTCATTGAAAAGTTCCACAGTGTTTCACTGTATGGATATGCTACAATTGATTAACCATCCACTCATTACTAGTGGATGATTACTGATTATTGTTATTTCTTATTATTATAAGCAATGTGTTAATGACTATGTTTAAGCCATTTTGCACTTGTTCAAATACACTATGGTAGTATAAATATCTTGAAATAAAACTAGAGCATCTAAGGTATATTTCCCATTTAATGGACATTGCCCTAGTGCTTTCCACCACTATCAATGTACTCTCCCACCACAAAAAGTATGTGACTGTCAGTTTCCCCTTTCCAGTATAAGCTATCAAACTTAAAAAAAAATTTTTTTAACTGTTCAATTACAGTTGACATTCAATATTATATTAGTTCCAGGTATAGAGCACAGTGGTTAGACATTTTTGTAAGTTACTAGGTGATCCCCTCCATAACAAGGTATCAAACTTCTTAATCTCTGGTGATCTACCTGGTAGTTGGAAATGGTACTTCACTGTAGCACTTGCAATTTACTAAATATAAGTGAAAATGCCATCTTTTCATTCGTTTAAATGCCAATCTCATTTTCTTACACTTTACCCATTTTCTTTTGGGCTGACTGGTGTTTTACTTCTTACTTTGCAGGATACGCACATGCGTGTATACACAACTGAGAACCACAGAACTGCATACTTTGAGTGGGTAGGTTTTTTGGAATGTATACATGTATCTATGGGAATTTGCGTTATACTGTCTTATGTATTATAAATATTTCCCTCAGTTTTTTTCTTTTAATTTCTTTAGAACATAGTTTTCTGCAGAAATCCCGATTTTTTATGTTGCAAAACCCATCAGGTTTTTAATGTCAATTTTTAATGGCTTCTTAGTCTTTTTTCATGTTTTAAAGTGATTTCTATTCAATATTTACAAATAATTTTCCTATATTTTTCTTCTAGTATCATTATCAGTTCACTATGAATGTATATATAGAATTTATTTTAGTATAAAGAAAGCTCTAAATTTAAATAGGAGTTTCTCCAACCTGAAATACTTGCAGAGAATCATTTTCACCAAAAACCAACAGACTACTCATTCAAATAACTGACACTTAAACCCCAAGAAAATTTCCAGCAGATTGAAAGTACTAGATGACTTAAAATAGGTTCTTGTGAAAGTTGTATAGCTGCAGAACTGCTATACTTCACTAACCCCTAATCAATTTTCCAAATAAAATCTGAAATTAATATTCAAATTGAGGTTTCTATATAATATGTCCATTATTTGAAATATTCTCTGCCTTAATTAAGCATCGCTAAATAACCTTTTATATCCAATTTTTACATGATTAGATACTAATGACAACCACGCAAAACTTTAACAGCAGTTTCTATGAAGAAGAGTACCCTTTTCTTTAAACCATTTTTACTAAAGAAAATGCTCTTCAAGGACGTATGTGACGCTGTGGCCCATCAGCACGGAAGCGACCCAAGTTCACTTACCATGTGTGGAGCGCTGATTGTCGCCTGGAAACCTGCGGAAGAAGAAGAGAACACTGACATATTCAGCCGTAAAAACATGCCAAACACCCCATGTAATTCCTTCTCTAACACCGATAAATTACTTTGCGTAATATTTTTCAATTTTATTACTGCAAGGAAATAAAACTCGTCATTTGTACTTTAGAGTAATATCATGCAGTAGTTAAAATCAGGAAATCCAATCAAGCCAAAGGCTGCTGTGCTCATTTACCACAACAGGCCCACTAGTTTTCAAGATTTCTTCTCCTGTATAGTTGGCTAAGAAAGGAAGAATTTCAGTAAGTTGGTACATTTATGACTTGTTTTCACTTCAGATTTATAAAAAGAAAATAAACTTCCATATATAATAGGTATGCAAAGTCTTTGCAAAATTAAACTGCTTCACACGTCTCGCACCTAGTGCAACCATCCATCAGAGTGGCTTAACAGACAACCTACTTCAATTTACCCTTTATACTAACACCTGACATAAATTCGCACAATCTTTTCTTAGTTTTTAACTTTTAATTTTTTTCTTCCAAGGTTGTTTTCTCGAAACTTATTTACCTGCTTCTGCATCTGAAGCAATTTTCACTGAGCGGTGGTAGCAGGTGCCTTCGGGGTTCAGAAGCCCCCCAGGATCTTCTCTGCTGGCTGTCACAGTGCTTCGAAAGAAGAAAGCATGGCAGCTGGCGACAGAATCCTGAGGCACTTCTAAGCCTCAAAGGCGCCCACTGCCAAGGCTCAGCAGTTCAGCAAAAAACCTGCTTCAGGAGAAGGAGTTAAATATGGACTTTCTAAAATCAAGCACAAGTCAAAACATTCAGGGCAAGCGAAGCAGGGAAGTCAGTAATAACTTAAATACATTTATTTCCTTTAAAATTGAGGCTAATAAAGTAAAACAACCTTAGTCAACATTAAGACTCCTAAAGAAAACTCAGCACTCAGTTTAAACTATAAATTTCATTAAAAGTATATTTTATGAAAAAATTTTAGAAGTTATATATTAGAGAAAATAGAAAAGATACTTCTAACACATAACATTTTATTAAAAAGGCATACAATTCAAATCAGCAAGGTAATAATAAATATCTGTGTCCCAGTCGATTTTTACTTACAAAAAATATAGAGTAAACGAGTAAAACAATGTGACATTTTCACAAATCCAAAGCTTACCTATTGATTGTGGAGAATCCATATAAGGGTTACATTTTGCATAGTGGGAGCGGTCGGTAGCCAGCATTACTTCAAATACTTTATCTGTCTTGATGATTCCATTTTCTGAAATGAATGAAGCAAATATTTTAAGCTGGGAGAAGATGATCAGATATATTTTAGAATAATTACATTGGCTGCACTGTGGAGACTGGCTTGGGAGGGGACAAGATTGGAAGTTGTTGCAATGGTCCAGGTAATCACAGTCTGATCTTTAATGATGACGGTAAGAATGAAGAGAAGTAGGAGGATTTGAGGCATATTTGGTAGGTAATACGGTGGAGCAAAAGTAGGTGTCTAGTTGTTCATGTGGAGAATAATACAATAATTAATAAATAATAATACAAGAATAAACTCTGGGCCCTGGCTGGTGTGGCTCATTGGATTGAGCACCAGCCTGCAAACCAAAAGGCTGCAGGCTTGATTCTCAGTCAGGGCACATGCCTGGGTTTCGGGCCAGGTCCCCAGTTGGGGGCATGTAAGAAGCAACCAATCAATGTTTCTCTCACACTTTGAGGTCTCTCTCTGTCAAGAAAGAAAGGAAGAAAGGAAGAAAAGAAAAGAATAAACTGTTTCCCTTACTCATTAATCCTGCTCTTGCCCCACCCTGAGTAAACCTGACTGACTAGATTTGGACGAGAGGGGAGTAATGGTTGGGATGCTGATGCCATATACTTATTTGAGAAATACTGGAGAAGAATTAGAGTTAAGGAGAGAAAGGATAACTAATTTATTCAGTTAGGAGCTACGGACCACACAAATAGAGATATTCAATAGTTACCTGAGTGGGGCTCAGAAAACAGATCTAAGATAGAGACACAGATTTCTAGTTACATGGATGGCAACTGAAGCAATGAAAGTGAACTTAAGTGGCCAGAAAAGATCACACAGAGAGAGAAACAAACATAAACATTTAAGAAATATGCACAGGAAATAGAGCCTTCAAAGATTATGACAAGGAACAACCAGAGTTGGATAAAAATCAAGCAGATAAACTGAGAGTTCAAGAGAAACCAATTTTTCAAAACATAAAGCAAAGTTAATAGTGTATAAATTTGGTTCCCCAACGATCAGTTCTTTTAGATTGAATATAATATGTTGAACTTCAATAAACCTCATGGTACCATGCATATAGCTAATTTTTCAATAAAGCCTTTATCAATTCAATATATTTATTGACTGTCTAATATATACCCGACATGCTGCTACATGCTCAGGATTATATAAATAAACAAGATAGAATAGTTCCTATACTCACAGAGCTAAGATCTGTAAGATTAAATGTATCAACTTGACTTTAACAATCCAGAAATAAATTTTTTATCAAAATAGACTTTGCTAAAAACCACTGAATTTTACAATATATTTGGGTAAATGATATGGTATGGAATTATACCTTAGAAAACCTGTTTTTTTAAAAATCTAGTGGGACTAGAGGTGACAACCAAGAGAAGCACTATTTCTGGGGGACAGTCAGATAAACAGGGAAAGGATGGTGCCTCCTGAAGTGACAGTGAAGTGAAAGAAGGAAGAAAATTGAAAATGCTGCAGAAACAAAAGAGCAACAAGATATGCCAAGTCCTTCTCTTTTCCCATCACTGCTATCATCCATCATCCATTAAAGTGCAAGTCACCATACTGACAAAAGCTCTTGAACTGTGAAAGTAGGAAAAAGGAGGAAAAAAAAAAACTCAGTTCAAAACTCCTAGAAACAAAAGGCAAATGAAAACATTTCAGCTGATTAAAAAGAATCTAATATTTAAAACAATATTCTAAGAAAACTTAGCAGGAAGTATTGAATAAAAGTATTTCCAGCCCTAGCTGATGTGGCTCAGTGGATTGAGTGCTGGCCTGTGAACCGGAAGGTTGCTGGTTCAATTCCTAGTCAAGACACATGCCTGGATTGTGGGCCAGGTACCCAGTTGCGGGCATGCAACAGGCAACCAATCAATGTATCGCTCACACATCAATGTTTCTCTCCCTCTCTTTCTCCCTCCCTTCTCCTCTAAAATAAATAAAGATCTTAAAAAAAGAAAGTATTTCCAGAAGCAATCAACTTGGAGATACCCACTAATAAAACAATCAGACTTTAAAGACAAAATAAAACCACCTCTTCAGGGCCTCAAGGCAAAAGATTAAATTGCCCAATGAAGGTAAAAAAACAATTAGGCATTCAGATTTCTTATGGTTTCAACCACCAACAATCAAAGAAAAACAAGAATGAAGCTGCATTTTCAAGAAATTTGGGGAAAGTGCAAGTCATCAACAAAAGTAGTAAACTGTGGATACAGCCAACAACATCAATCTCAAGAGCACCAAGCTCAGCAAAAGAAGCCCGACAAGAAGACTACACATCATATGATTCTAATTATATAAACTTTTAGAAAAGTCAAAACTATAGTGGCAGAAGGCTGATCTGTGGTTGCTAGGGGCAGAAAATGAAAAAGGATATTGATTGCAAAGGGGTATGAGGGAACTCCTGGGTGGAAGAAATGTTCTTATCAGATATCAGCAAACATTTGTAAAGGTCCAAATAGGAAACAGTTTAGACTTTGCAGGCCATCTAGTCTCCACTGCCACTGCTCAACTCTGCTGATGTGCTGGAAGAACAGCCGCAGACGATACTATACAAAGGATGTGGCTGTGTTAAAGTGAACCTTTACTTCCAAAGTAGGCAGCAGGTCAGGTTTGACCCTTGTGCTATTATCATGAGGGTGGTAGTTAAGACTATATTCGTTCATCAAATTTTTCAAATTGCAGCCTTAAAATCTGGTGAATTTTCATGTAAATTCTACCCCAATAAAGTTGATTTCTTTAAAATATAAACTGAGGATTTTATATCTAGCCAAGCTGCCCCTCAAATGTCAAGGTTATAGAAAAAAAAAAAACATTTTGCATGTGCAAGAGCTGCTATCATCCATCTCTAAAAAAAGAAAGAAAGAAAAGAATAAACTGTTTCCCTTACTCATTAATGTTGTACACATGAGCCCTTCCTGAAGACTCTCCTAGAGGATGTGCTCCCTCTAACCATGAGATAACTGAAGACACACCAGCAAAGACCGCACAGACAAATGTGCAGCAAAGACTAGAATAAGGGAGGAGACACGGGTGAAATAATAATTAAATGTTATACATTCTGACAAAGTAGAAAGAATGAAACTAAAAACAGTGGGAGGAGAAAAAGGGCAAAAGTAGAATTAGAACACTGTCGTACAGGTCGTAGGAAAAATCAAAGGACACCATTTCATACTGACTGACTAGATGGTAAACAGTTAAGGAAAAGGTGGGTTAAAGACACCATAAAAGATACAAATACAAACCCTCCAAATAACAGGGTATTTTTAAAAATCAGCAAACAAGGCAGGCACACTAAATAAAGAAACACTGAAAATAGTCATAGACTGGCAAAGATAAACTTCCATCATGTTTCCATTTTAAAACATCACAAGTTTTAGATAAAAGTAACCCAAATAGAAAATACTATTGTGTTGGTGAAAGAGTCTGTGTGGTTTTTACTGTAAAATGAAAGACACCTTTTTTATTGATTTGGATATTTTGAGTATGTAGGCTATCTCCCATGTGGTATAATGTTGACTGTTCTCAATTAATGTCTCGATTTGATCGCTATCAACTCCAACTGGTCTACCCAACCATGGAGCATCGTCCAGTGAGAAATCTCTAGCACAAAATTTTGCAAACCAGTTTTGCCACATTTGCTCAATCACAGCACTTTCTCCTTACACTGCAACAAATATTTTTTGGTGTTTCAGTTGCATTTTTACCTTTCTTGAAATGATAAAGCATAATATGCCAGAAATGTTGCATATTTCCTTCCATCTTCAACATTAAAATGGCTACATAAAAATTCACCAACTTTGATATGCTTTTTTAAAATGCACACTGATATGACAGTTGTCACAATACAATCTAACAAAACTGTTTCAAATGAAGTTAAAGGCAACTAGGCGCTACTAGAGTCATCTTATGGGAAAAAAATCAAACAAACTTTTTGGCCAACCCAATATTTCTGCATAAACAAGCTTAAGCAAGCTACATGAAAAGGTTATTAAAATAAAACAGTGAAAGCATTTTTTTATTTTAAATCAGAGTAATAATAGAGATATCATTTACTGAATATTTACCATGTGCCAGACAAAATCCTAAACACATTACATATACTATCTCTTTTAAGATATGAATTTATATGGACTATAAACTATGAAACAATCTTATATTGTCTCTAACAATGCTATAAAGTAAGCACTATTATTACTACATTTTACAGGTGATGAAATTGGTTCAGGTAAGAGACTTAAGTTGTTCAAAATGACAGAGCGAATAAGGGGTAAGGGCCATTCAAAATGAGATACTAGATTCCCACTGCCTACTTCACTGTACTGCTGCTGACATAGTCAAAGAGCTCAGAGACTTCTGCTAATTCATTTCCCAAAATAAAGCTTGAGTGGTTCATTAGCCCTGAACCCAATTCAAATTCCAGAGAGGTGACTCATGCACTCTCCAGGTCACAGGGCCTTACAGTCTAACTTCATAAATCAGCGCCAGGATCTCTACTTGGAGAGTTCTGCTGTCATCTGAACACTTCGCTGTATTAAGATGAAATCTCCCTCTTTATAATCCATTTACATGAACCCTCAGTGCTGCGCTCTTTCTGAAGCCACAGAGAACACAGATTTTTACACATCTAAAGATATATCATGACCACTTTGAGCCTGATCTTTTTCAGGTTAAGCAGCCTCACTCAATAATTCCAATATTCATTTATTCATTCTTGTCTAGAGGGACACTTTAAGTATGATATCTAAAGTCAAACCTATTGATCCAGGCATATTCTAAAAATCAAAGTAAATTATAGAGATCACTTCCCTTAAGCTAGGTAATATTCTTCTATCAAATTCATGTGAGTTTCTTTGGCTGCTTTCTTCATCTGTAGAGGTATATAGAATTTACTAAAAACCCTATAGTTTTTTAAAAGCTTGTCACTAGTCATTTATTAAAAAGCTGAATATAGCAAGACTTAGAATAAGTTGTAGTAGGCCATTATCAGG